TTCAGACATTTCGACGAGGGACTATTTGGGCCTGTACCGAGACTTGGTGTTGACGACATTCCCATCTTCCCCTCCTCTTTCGTCTAACCCCTCCTTCTTCGTCTGTGTATGGTTGGGGCTGGCGCAGTCTTCTTGTGTGAAGCGCCAGACCCCCTTCACACCAGATAACGATGATGATGATGTGTGTTCAGGGCTGCATTGCAATATTGATTGTTCGGATCATTCGTATCTAAGTCTTCCGCTGTGTTATCTTGTACTTTGTATTGAGAGGTCCGTTCTTGTTCTGGTCTGCACGTTACAGTATGCAACACAAATAGTCCCTCGTCAAAATGTCTGAATCCCAAATGTCGAGTCTGGATCCAATGTCGTCAAGTCTCAAGGCACAACTCTCTCTCTCTGTAGTAGTCCGCTGATACTGAGAAGTCAGGTGGTGAGAGGGGAAGAAGAGATGGTGGACATAGAAGAGGAAGAAGAAGAACTCTCTCTCTCTCTCTCTCTCTCTCTCTCTCTCTCTCGGTGTCCAGTACTAACCTGTGAAGATGGCGCCTTGATGCAGGTACCTCGAAGATGGAGCTGGAGCTATGGCGCCACAGCTGGCCTCCGCCAGCCATCTCTCTCCCACACTACCACTACCACCTACTAGCGCCCAGCGCTGAAGACTACTGCTATGGCTACTAGCGCCCAGCGCTGAAGACTACTGCTAGCGCTAAGCTACTCCTGGCAGCGCTCCTCCTGAGTGCTGCGGCCGAATCCTGAAGACTACTCGTCCTACTGTCCAACTACCTACCGTGAAGTGCATGGGAAAGTCCTATGTACTACTCGGCCTGCCTCCTGACTGCAGGGTGAGGCAGTCCAGGAGGCTGCTCTTGCCAATGCCGCAGGGAGTCAGGGGCTGCCGCTGCAGCTCCTGTTTGAGGCAGTCGTGGGAACAGGCTAAAGATAGCCTGTTCCGAAAACCCTGTTTTTGTGCCTGAGTCTTAGGGTCGGTCGAAACAATGAGGGCCTGAAAATGGCCCTCCGTTTCAGGCTGAAAAGCCTCTGGGCCTGAAAGGCCCAGAAATAGGCTGAAAACGGAATAGGGCCTGCAGGCCCTCGTTTTTCAGTTTCAAGCTGAAACGACCGGGGCCTGTAAGCCCTATTTTCTAGGCTTTTAGGCTGAAAGTGCGGGACGGGCCCTGCAGGGCCCGTGTGGCTACGCAGTATGCCACAAAAACCCTACTGGATAACCCTCTGGAAAACTCACTGGATAACGAAAGATAGACAACCCCACTGGATAACCCACTGGAAAACGGACTAGATAACGGATAGATAGCCCCCTCTGGATAACCCACTGGATAAGCCACTGGATAACTCCACTGGATAAGCCACTGGATAACGGATAGATAACCCCTTCTGGATAACCCACTGGATAACCCACTGGATAACCCACTGGATAACCCCACTGGATAACCCACTGGATACCCCACTGGATACCCCACTGGATAACCCCACTGGATAAACCACTGGATAAACCACTGGATAACCCCACTGGATAAACCACTGGATAACCCCACTGGAAAACCCACTGGAAAACCCACTGGATAACCCACTGGATAACCCATGGGTAATCCATGGATAGCCCATGGATAAAAGATAGATACCCCCCTCTGGATAACCCACTGCATAACCCCACTGGATAACCCACTGGAAGACTGACTGGATAATGGATAGATAACCCCCTCTGGCTAACCCACTGGATAACCCACTGAATAACCATTGGATACCCCACTGGATAACCCACTGGATAACCCCACTGGACACCCCACTGGAAAACCCACTGGAAAACCCCACTGGAAAACCCACTGGATAACCCACTGGATGAACCACTGAAGAAACGATGTATAAGCGATATGGATAACCTATATGGATAACACACTGGATAAACCATGGATAATCCATGACCAGTAGAATAGTGGCAGCTGGGACACTGCATAACGCCATGTCGTGGTTCCCGTCAACCTCATGATTTTGGAGATGCTGCAAATGCAAACGGCTTTTCGAGTGTGCAATTTAGGCAATATAATATGTGCATTGTTCACAACCATCCCTTCCCTCATTTCCATTTCTAGTGTCTCCATTAAGCAAGCGAAGGTAGAAGTACTAGAAACATAAAGATGACGAAGAAGCGAAACATTGATACGAAAGCGCGTGTAGAAGAAAGCACTTGTGAAGTTTGCGCTTCGACGAATCGTAAAAGGTTTTTGTTTGTGTTATATGGACAGAAAAATAATTCCGAAAACGAGTTTCCAGCAGAAACAAAAGTGAAAGCTATATTTATGGCAGAGTTAATAAAAAAGCCTCCTTTGGGACATCTGTGAAAAAATGAACGATACAGGGAAGGGTAATTAGAAGACGGCCCCTGCACAAGGATGACAAGCATAAATCGAGCGAAATGGTCCAAATTGGGGGGAAAAAAAAGGACTGAAGAGTTGTGATAACTATGAGCTGTCTGGTCTCTCTCTCTCTCTCTCTCTCTCTCTCTCTCTCTCTCTCTCTCTCTCTCTCTCTCTCT